TATATACATATTGTTTCAGAAAGTCTAGATTCTATATCAACTGAAAAAATTAGTAAGGAAATTAACATCAAAGACATATCCATATATACTATTTCTTTTGTCTTTAACATTCTGACCTTCCTTTGTTTCACAGGGCAACCCTGGTGAGGAAGGTGTGGATGGCTTGGATGGAGAACAGGTATGGAAGTTTCTCATTTCATCTTTTCTTCTCTACTAATCTGGCATTTTTAGAAAGTATAGCTTTTCATGAGTAGCTAGACATTTTAACATGCATACTCAACAATATTTAAAGTTAATCTATGTATTTGTCCTTATCCCTAAAATACAAGGACCCTAGAAACTTTCACCAATCCCTTCCATATAACATATTATTGTTTAGTATTTTATTTTCATCTTTTTTGGTTAAATTCTACCAATTAGAAACTGTTATTTAATATTACTATTGTTTTATATAGTCAATGCTTATCTAACTTTACCCTTATGTTTACTAGTACCATGGACACCTTCCTTGAAGCCACTGATGCATTCAAAAGAACATGAATATATCATGTTTCTTTCCCCTAGGGTACAACATTTAGAATTTTCTTTAATGAAAGTCAGTTCATTATAAACGCTTTTTTTTCCTCTGAAAATCTCTTTATTTTACCTTTTTTCTTGAAAGATAGTTCATTGAGTAAACAATTCTGTGTTGACAGTTATTTTCTCTTAGCAGTTTGAAAATGTAATCTCATAGTCTTATGGGTTCTATTGTCTTCTACCTTTCATTATTGCTGTTAAGAAGTTATCTGTAATTATTCTTTTGTAAACAATGTTTAAAAAATATATATCAAACTCCTTTAAAAATTTTTCTTTGTTTTTAGTTCTTGGCAGTTTCAATTTAATGTATCCAAGTGTGGATTTCTTTTTATTTATTCTACTTGGGACTTGTTAGGCTTTTGAATATGAGTATTTATGTCTTCTATAAAGTTTGGAAAATCCTTAGAAAATTATCATTTTGAAATTTGTATCTTTCCTATTTTCTCTATTAATTCTTTTTTTTTTCTTGAGACAGAGTCTCGCTTTGTTGCCTGGGCTAGAGTGAGTGCCATGGCGTCAGCCTAGCTCACAGCAACCTCAAACTCCTGGGCTCAAGCGATCCTTCTGCCTCAGCCTCCCGAGTAGCTGGG